AGAAAAATCGAACGAAATATTTTATTGCCAATGTTTAATATTTCATAAGTCTTATTAGGTTGTTAATAAATAAAAATATATATTTTGAAGAAAGCATTGAATCAAATCAAATACATATATTTGGGGAAAAAAGAATATTTTATTGCCAACATATGTATATATATTTGTTGTATATCGAATCTTAAAAAAAAGTAAAATAAAAAAAAAAATCTAAATTCTAAACGAGAAATTGCGCGCCAAATACAGGCTTTTTATCACCAAAGCCGCTAAAAAGTACCACTAAACACAAATCACAAAAAAACGGGTCGGGTAAAAAACCGTTCTGTCTAGTGACTCAAACTATGTCACTGAGAACAAAAATCAAACACCTCGCCGGCATTTTCCACACCGCCACCCGCAACCTCTCCTACCATCTCAGCCGCCGCCACAACCACCCGCCGCCTAAACAGGACCCATACTCCCTGCTCAAGGAAGACCCGATCCAAGTCCTCTCGGACCTCTGGGTGAAGTCATTCTCCCAGACCCAGAAACCCTTCCAAAACCTCACCGGCTTCCTCTCGAAGCTCGACCTCTGGGTGCTCGCCTACCAGCGGACCTGCGCTCACGCCACCGGCTCTTTTCCTCCCAGAAACGCCATCCCCTCTCACGCCCTCGCCGACCTCCTCTCCCTCCGAAACGCAGTCGTTAGCGGCGAGTTCAGATGGGATTCCAAAGCCCAGCAATTCATTCGCAGCCCGAACGACAAGACTCCTCTTCATCTACTCTCGAGAAGCAAGCTCCAGTCGATGATGGAGTCCGGTGCGCCACTTTTCCAGGACCGGGTAGTTCAAGAGGTCCTGTTGATGGTTATCGAGCCGGTTTTCGAGGCCCGGTTTTCGGCAAAATCCCACGCGTTTCGGCCTGGTAGGAACCCTCACACTGTGATTAGAACAATCAGGAGTAATTTTGCTGGATACTTGTGGTTTATTAGAGGTGATTTGAGTGATATTGTTGATAATTTAGATTCGAATATGATTCTGGATTGTGTTGAAAAATCAGTGAAGGACAAGAAAGTGTTGAAATTAATTAAATCGGGGCTGAGAAGGACTGGAAAGAATTTGAATCATGTGGAAGATAATGGAGAGAAAATGAGCAAGAACAAGATAAAGAAGGGGCAGACTAAGAAGAGAATATTGCTAGATAATGAGCCCAAGCCCGACCCGTATTGGCTCAGGACATTCTTCGATTTTGCTCCCGAGGAGGCTGCAAAGGTGCCCGATTATGGTTACTGTGGAATTCTCAGTCCATTGCTGACGAACATCTGCCTGAACGAATTCGATTTCATGATGGAAAACAAGATAGTGGAGTTTTTCCGGCCATCTGAGTCCGACTCGATATGGAAGTACTCGATAAACGATGGCTGCCACAATCCATCTTGGCCGGAGTTTGTGCCGACGAGCGGCAGCAAGGAGAAAACTCGGAAAATGGACTACATTCGGTTCGCGGGCCATTTTCTGATTGGCATCAGAGGCCCCAGAGAGGACGCTGTCGGTATAAGAAAAGAAATAATCGAGTTTTGCGACAAAAGATTCGTGTACCGACTGGACAATTCCAAGGTTGAGATCGAACACATCACGAGAGGCATCCAGTTTCTTGATCACATCATTTGCCGACGAGTTATACGTCCGACCCTCAGGTACTAACCGAAAATTCGGCTTATCCATTGTAAGAACCGAAAACCGAACAAAATTTATGGTTCGATTCGGTTTTTTAACCGAAAATCAGCGGTCGACTTGGTTCGGTTATTGATTATTCGCAACAAATAATTAATCTTCTCAATAAATTCCGAATTTGTAGCTGAACCAAAACTTTGATTCTTTTATCCGATTCAAAAAAATTGATTTTTTTTTATCACCTTTTTTAATTAATGTTCTCAATAAATTCCAAATACGAAAGATCTCGGACCCGAACCATGGGGACTTTGACAAAGGCAATCTTGAGTGCAAAATAATACTTGAAGCCATTTAGGGGGTCATTGAAGCTCGAATATCATCAATTATTGGAGCTAGTTATTGATTTTATAACGTATATGTATAAATTGATTTTCAGTTTGGTTTGGTTAACCGATCACTATTATACGAAGCGAACCGATAACCTAAACTTTAAGAAAATGTAAACCGAAAACAGAACCAAATATTCGGTTTCGGTCCAAACCGAATTTTCGGTTTATGTCTGTTCGGCTTGGCTAATCGAATTTTGTGCACCCCTATCAGGTACACCTCGACCGGTGGCAAAATCGTGAGCCAGAAAGGTGTGGGGACCTTGCTTTCGGTCACCGCTAGCTTGCAGCAGTGTATTCGCCGCTTCAGGCGACTTTCTTTCGTGAAGGGCGATAAGGACCCGGAGCCTCTGCCTTGTACGCCAATGCTCTATTCGGGCCAGGCCCACACCAATGCCCAGATGAACAAATTGCTCGAAACCATGGCCGATTGGTACAGGTACGCGGATAACCGGAAGAAAATTGTTGGGTTTTGTGCGTATGTTGTGCGTAGCTCGTTGGCTAAACTATACGCTGCTAGATATAGGCTGAAATCCCGTGCGAAAGTGTATAAGATTGCCGCACGTGATCTCAGCCATCCATTGAGGGAAAGCAGTAACAATTCGGCCCCTGAGTATTCGGATCTTTTGCGAATGGGGCTTGTGGATGCTATTGAGGGTGTTCGGTTTTCGCGTATGTCTTTTATCCCGTCGTGCGATTACACTCCTTTTTCGAGGAATTGGGTCCCGGATCATGAGAAGCTTTTGCAGGAGTATATTAAGTTACAGGATGCTAGATTCTTTTGTGAGCTCAGTAAGTCGGTTAAACGGGAAGGTCTGTGTTTGCCTCAGGAGAATATATCGAAGATTGTATGGGACTTCAAGGTACTTGGGTTGTGGAGCAAGAGATTTGAAAATGAAGAAGATAGAGAGAATAATATGTAGATGGTGTTTTCAAACAGCTCATGTATGTGTTTTTTATATTTATCTGGAGAATACTGGTTATCAACTTATCGTGTCTGCACAAAATTTAACCACGAGGACTCCCTGTAAGTTTGAATTGGTTTACTTCTTGGCTTATCTTGGATTCTTTTACGGTTCTTGCTCAGTTACATGTGGTGTATTTATAAACAGATGAGCTTGGAGTTGAATTCATCTGCAGCAAGAGTGAATTTTTTTGGTTTATGGTAAGTGCATGGTGAATCCTTTAGGGCGTGTTTGTATGCAAATATATCTGTTCAAAATGAGTTTTTTTGGTTAACAGAGTTAATTTTGGAAAAAAGTGACATGATTGTTTTTAGTAGGATTTTGGTTTTATATTAAAATAATATTTAAAATAAAATAATTAATGTTTATTTGATGTAAAAGTAGGAGAAAAATGATGTGAAGTGATAGTTAGTTAAAATTATGTGAGGATGAATAGTATATTAGAGTTGATATGACGTGTAAAAATGATTGGTTGGTATTATTTAATTATATTGATAATATTGAGGATAGTGGAGTTGAGTTAAAGTTTAGTTAGATTTTGATTATGAATCGAGTAGGAATTGTGTTTTTTGATATACAAACACACCTGCCAGCTTATGTCAGTTTCTTTCCAATGGTAAATATGTATAATTTTGAGAATGCTTTTGCATGAAAAGTATTGTCTATTTTCTAACTCATGTTACTTATTCTTATGTTTAATCAGATTGAATGAGCTTGGTGCTGGGTCAGATATAGAGCTAACCGGTGCTTCTGTGCAATGTTTGCTCGTCTCGGATTATATGGTGACCAATGAGCTCAGTTCTTTCATATATACAGCTCAGAAAGGTACTTACCAATTTACTCATAGTAAAAAGTTGAAAAAAGGTTTTATGTGGTGATTTTGCTGAGCATATATTGTTTGTCAATTGTCACCATACATATTTCATTTTGCTCCTATTGAATTCAATATCTGGGCAGGAGCTCTTGTTGTCTACTTCCGGACGATTTTGCTCCCATACATATGGTAACCTTTGATAGTTATAGACGAAAATTTTAGTTGATTTCGGTGTTTGATTTGATAATCGGGTTGAATAAATTCATGAAAGAGTTCTTAGTCTCATGTCACTTCAGTGTTTCCTTATAGTATATGTATGAATTTTGTTTACATAGTATGTTAAGTCAAGTTGCCTAACCCTTTTGATGTCTCACATGAAAAATTGTTGCGTTCTGAAATCCATCAACTAAAGTAGATCGGTAATCAATTCCTTCAAGTCCTTAACAACATGCTTGTATACAAGATTTTTCAAAAAAAATCTAAATCATTTTTAACTAATTACTTTTTTAAACTCAAATCTAACTCAATTTGTAACCAGCCCGACTATTTTCAATATTATCAGTTTAATTAGATAATACCGGTCAATTATTGTTATATATTAGATTAATTTAATTCACTATTTATCAACTCACATAATTTTAACTAATCACGGTTTTACACCATTTCTCTCCTACTATTTGGGTAACTATAATATTAGCTTTCTGGACCCAAACTCTATTTCCAAATAAGCTCAAAAGAACTACGTTTTGGAAAACGTGGTTTCAAAAAATGACAATAGAACGTCATAGTTATAAATTTTTGCTACTTACCATGAAAAATTCCTAATTGAATTCATTAGTCAAATAATCTAATACAATTCGAGAGAAATGCTCACTTACCCACGGTGGACACATGTTAATATGCCCACTGCGTAGGTGACATGCACTCATTGGTGATGTAGTTTGCTTAAACATATTAACATCACCAATGAGTGCATGCCATCTATGAGGTGGACATATTAACATATACCCACCGTGGGTAGGGAAGCATTTCTATACAATTTGATATCCTCTAATAACATCAACTATTAATTATTTGCTAATACAATTAGCTATTGTTATCTGCTATCAATTAATTGCCAAACTATATTGATTTTGATTGGAGTTTACCGTACAATACATTGTGCAGTATGTAGCTAACAGTTGGCTCCATAGTTGAGCAACTTTTTATATAGAACAAATAAGTCTACCATATTATATGATTATTTAAATAAACACTAATAATTTTACTAATACGGTATGCTTTACTTGTTGTATATAGAAAGTTGACTCAACTATGAAGCCAACTGTTGCTTCGTAGTAAAACCGTGAAGCTCAAATGTAGACCCGCTATAATTAGGCGATCTACCTTTCCTAGCATAGTACAATGGTTAGTTGTATCCTTTAATGAACATTAAAAGAATTTTAATGGCAAAAGTTGGCCTCGATCAGTATTCATTACAATGCCCCAACAATTCACTCACTTTCCAAGTTTTTTTTTTTTTTTTTTTTTTT